GGCCTAATCTCCAACATTTATAGGGAACTCATACAACTTAACAAAAGGAAGATAAACAATCCAATCAAAAAATGGGCAAAGGACCTAAATAGACACCTTTCAAAAGAGGACATTCAGAAAGCCAAGAGACATATGAAAACATGCTCAAAGTCACTAATCATCCGAGAGATGCAAATCAAAACAACAATGAGGTACCATCTCACACCTGTCAGACTGGCTATCATCAACAAATCAACAAACGACAAGTGCTGGAGAGGATGTGGAGAAAAAGGAACACTTGTGCACTGCTGGTGGGAATGCAGACTGGTGCAGCCACTATGGAAGACAGTATGGAGTTTCCTCAAAAAACAAAACATGGAACTCCCATTTGACCCTGTGATCCCACTTCTAGGAATATATCCCAAGAAACCAGAAACACCAATCAGAAAGGATATATGCACCCCTATGTTCATAGCAGCACAATTCACCATAGCTAAGATCTGGAAACAGCCTAAGTGCCCATCAGTAGATGAATGGATTAGAAAACTGTGGTACATCTACACGATGGAATACTATGCTGCTGTAAAAAAGAAGGAACTCTTACCATTTGCAATGGCATGGATGGAACTGGAGAGCATTATGCTAAGTGAAATAAGCCAGTCAATGAAGGAAAAATACCACATGATCTCACACATTCATGGATAATAGAGACCATTATAAACTTTTGAACAATAATAGATACAGAGGCAGAGCTGCCTCAAACAGATTGTCAAACTGCAGCGGGAAGGCCGGGGAGGGTTGGGGGGCAGGAGGGAAGGGGGTAAGAGATCAACCGAAGGACTTGTATGCATGCATATAAGCATAACCAATGGACATAAGACACTGGGGGGTAGGGGAGGCCAGGGGATTGTCAAGGGCAGGGGAAAAAAGGACACATATGTAATACCCTTTGTAATACTTTAAGCAATAAAAAATTTTTAAAAAATCATTGCATTTAAATACACTAAAAGTGAACTATTAGAAAGAATAATTAATAACACCAGTTACAATTGCACCAAAAAGAGTAAAATACTGAGGAATAAATTTAACCAAGAAAGTGAAAGACCTATACACTGAAAACTATACAAAGACATTTATTAAAGAATCTAAAGACACAAATAAATGAAAAGATATTCTTTGTTATGGAAGAATTAATATTGTTAAAATGTCCATACTCCCCCAAAGCCATACACAGATTTAATGCAATCCCTAATCAAAACAGTATGGTATTGGCATACAAACAGACCCATAGATCAATGGAACAGAATAGAGAGCCCAGAAATACACCCATACATGTATGGCCTATTAATTTACGGCAAAGAAGCCAAAATTATACAATGAGTAAACGATAATGTCTCTAATGAATGGGTTTGAAAAACTGGACAGCCACATGAATAATAGTGACATTGGATCACTATCTTACAACATACACAAAAATCAACTAAAATAAAGACTTGAATGTAAGAACTGAAACCATAAAGCTCTTAAAGAAAACCATTAAGCTTCTAGACTTCAATCTTGGCAATATTTTGGATAGAAAGCCGGATGCAATGGCAGCAAACGCACAAATACACAAGTGGGACTATTTTAAACTATAAAGTTCTAGACAGCAAAGAAAACAATCAACAAAATAAAAAGACAACCTATGGAAAAGGAGAAAATATTTGCAAATCATGTATCTTGATAAGGAGTTAATACCCCAAATACATACTCATATATTTTTATATAGACTTATACAATAGAAAAAAAACAAAGATGATTTTTAAAATGAGCACAGGATCTGAATACATTTTTTACAAAGATATACAAATGACCAACAGATACCTGAAAAGTTGCTTAACATCACTATTGATCAGAGAAATGCAAATCAAAACCATAAGATATCGTATCACATTTTTTACAATGGCTATCATGAAAAAGACAACAGCTAACAAGTGTTGGTGAGGATGCAGAGAAAAGGAAACGATATACACTATTGGTGGAGATGTAAATTGGTGCACCCACTACAAAAACAGTATGGAGATTACCAAAAAATTAAAAACAGAACTACCATATCATCCAGAAATTCCACTTCTGGGTATTTATATGAAGGAAATGAAAACATTAACTTGAAAAGATATATGTACCCCCATTTCATTGCAGCAATATTTACAACAGCTAATACATGGAAGCAACCTAAGTGTCTACCAATGGATGAATGAATAAAGAAAATGTTATTTATATAATATATACACATATTATAACATATAAATTATATAAAACATATATAATTTATGTTATAATATCAAGTGTTTATCACCATTTACAGATGTAAAAGTATGTCCAAGTTCAAAGAGCTGTTACTTGGCAGAAGTGGTGATCAAATCTGATATTAAAGTTTCCTATCACATTACCAAGGATCTCTAAATACACAGTGTGGTTGGTATGCTCTCTCAATTGTTTATTTTTCAAGGTGAAAAAGCAATGTGGGAACTTGTAATTATTATGATTTGGGCCATTCCAAACATTCCTATGATAAATTAATGTCTTTTTCTTTCCATTTGGAATGAGTCACCTCTGTATCCTAAGGATATTACCACAGTAACTGACATTCATTGTATGTTTGTTGAAGGGTGATATGAACCGGAGTCATGATAATTGTAAAATTCATGCAATTCACACAGGAAAAAAATAATGTTGATTAAGTATAGCATATATGCTTATTTAAATTAGAAAACCTAAGGTAGTAATCTGGAAAGTTAAGTACTGCATTTGGTTATATGAAATGGACCTTTTTTAAAGGATAAAAAAATGAGACTAATTATTCTCCATAAAACTTCTGCTAGAAACTATTAAATTTCTCCTAAGGAGAAATATTTGTAACCATTTAATATTCTATGTATGCAAACCCTGTGTCATACAGCTACACAATGAGCTGATCAACGAAGTTAATGTCAGTATCAAAGAGTGTATTTTTGTCTCTATTGATGATGCAAACCATCATTAGAAATTCATTATAAATGTACACTACTAAAATATTAAACAATCAAATTACCTGATTCATTAATTATTTATAAGTAAAAGGGGGAAACTTCACTGGGTTCATCAACAAAATATTTCCATTGGCCTTTGAAAAGGAATTTTATCACTGTATTTCATAAGACCAACAATTTTCTGCAATATCCTGTTTTGGTTCCAGGAAGACACAGAGCCTATGACTGTATACCCAGTAAAAACTCTTCTCGAGAAAAAGTTAAGTTGATTGTGAGAACTAATTTTTTTGGACATACTAATGAAAAAATAAAACACATGCATATTCAAACATCACGTATTTAATGTCAAAGAATTTGAATTCAAGTACAAAAATTAAACAACACATGATTTCACCATTAAATAACCATAACACTTATTACTCAAACAACTATACAGTGAATATGAAAAACACAAGTGAAGTATATAACTATAAAAACCTTAACTATATTAACAGCAAAATTATAATTTATTTCTATAACAAATAATTAACTAAAATATTAATAGTTCAAGGACCACAATGCTTTTTTCTTTAGTACTGAGTAAAATTTGTATTTCTTTATCCCCTTCATTTCTTTCTACATAATAGTTAGATGCTTCTGGTTATATAACTGTTCTCATCTCTAGGACATATAGTGATCCTTGGTAATCAAATCCAGTGTAACCATTGTCTTCAAGTGCTTTAATATTGCGAAATGCTATGTAGCAAAGTTATTATGCAAAAATTTAGCATAAACTAATGGGTTCTATTGCTTACTCATGAATTAGAAGTATTTAAAGTGGCAAAAGTTTACATTTTTATAAGTTCTACACAACGGTGGATTATTCTGAATTATGGCTCATGTTTGTTGAAATAGATATCTATCATTTTAAAACCAAAAGTGCAAACCCAATTCTAAAATAAAACAGTATTTTAATTAGCATGCTTTACAAAGAAACTTTCATACTCATGTTTACAGTATTTCTTCAGAAGAATGAGGCCTGATTGGAGATATACAGTCGCTGTCCAACATGGCTGCCATTAGCAAGTGATATTGTTGGTGATAAGGGATAGCTTGGATAAGAATAAGGCCTTGAAGTATAAGGAAGCACGCTGGGAGTCCCAGAAGAGAGGGTAGCACTAACAGGGGAAAGACTATTTATTGAGCTGCGACGGAAATTGTAGTCTGTAAATAAATACATGAACAATTATGCTGCACATCTTTATGGATACAAATTTAATTCAAAGAGACAAAGCATTAAAACTATAATCACCATTTAACATAATGTTCTAACATTCAAAATCCTGGCAATACTATATTGCTGGTAAAGACTGTGTCAGTATTCACTGCATGGCAAATCCTGACTGTTTTATCAGTCAGTATTATGTTTCTTTCACTGACAGTGCTTCAGAGATCTTACTAAAATACATTCTCAGATATCTATTAATTGTTTTGTGTCTTTTTTATCACAAAAAAGCTCTGATTTCTTAAGATAAAAATAGCAAATTCATATTTGCCTCTCTTTTGGAAACTGTATTAGGTAACAAACCAGCAAAAACATTCACCCCTGGACTATAAAACTAACTGTCCAATATTTCATTATTTAAATACTAATATAAACATTTATATAACTCAACACATCAATTTAATATTAGCATCCTACTGGTACCATAAAACAGTAAAATGAATCATCTTTATAAAATAAACTTCAAAAAACCATTATCAACTTATAGTATAGAAAAATCCAAAAATTTAACCAAATTTTTTAAAAAACAATTACATTTGAAATATTACTGCTTCACAATAAACATTCATCTTATGCAGCAATAATTTCCTGCTTCATTAATTGTAATGTTTATAGATGTGTGTGAATATTAAAGACCAAATTTGTAAATCCCGTATTTTCCAAAAACTCAACTATGTTCTTTAGTACAGAATAAGCCATAGGTGTGACAATACTATAAAATGATTATTTATAGAAGTTATGGTGTTTTTAAGAATGAACGAAAAGGAATTAGGTCATTTAATATACAGATAAAAGTTTGTTTCTATATTTCCTGGAACTATATATGAGGCCTAAAACAAATGAGCATTAACTTAATGTTGTCATGGGACTTAATATTTAGCCAACAGGAATGAGATCAACTGCAGAAGAATAAGCTCAAGCAACATCAGAAAGGACCTAGTTAAGAAAAAAAATGGAAAAATAAAAATCAATTAAACATTGGTTTGATTTCCAGCATTATAAAACACTAATTAGAATAATTTTATAACCTTTGTATTTTTATTAATGGTACAAGATTAATAAAAGCAGTTTGTTCCAAGACATAAAGACATTGAAAGCATCCAGTTCAAAATATTCCTAGTATTTTAAAATTGGATAAGGAATTACTTTGATACCAAAGTAGGGTAACTGCAGGTATCACAGAATTCTTCTCATAAAGGATCCACTTTGCCTGAAGGGTCATGGTATTAAGTATAAACAGAAAGTTAGTGCTCCTATAATTCAAATAAATTGCTTTAGAAAAAGTTCTGGTTCTCTCCTCCTAAAGATAATTACGCCAATACAGTCAAATTCTTTTAAGCCATGTGGCTATGACACAACTAAAAGCTCTTTCAATTTCAATAGACAAGACTAAAGAAGAACAGGTCTTTAGTAGGAAGGGAAATGTTTCACAGAGAAATCACTTTCACTTTGGGTTTACATCCATTCAAGAGCTAATGCAGCCTATTATTCATGAAATGTGGACAGAAGAGATATCTTCAGAGGAAGATTGCACAAACATAGCCAGAAAACTGGCTAATGGCATAGTACTTAGGTCTGAAAATGTGCATTTCTGATAGTACCATACTGTAAGCCTTTAATTTTAAAAATATTCTACTCAACAGTTATATTCTCACATTTTTAAGGAGACTAAATCAAAATACAAAATTAGAAATTGACACTGATGACTTTATTCATACAGGATAAATCAAGAGAGGAAAATCTTCCCCAAATACTACAAAGATTAGAAAACAAAAAGCTTCGGATGTTTATAAGATTTATAAGTATTTCATAAAGTTGTGCAACCCACACCAATATAGAGAATACTTTCATCACTCTAAACAGAAACCCAGTACCTATTAGCAGTCACTCCCCATTCCTTCTCCCCCAGCCCCAGCAACTACTAATTTTTCTGTTTCTATAGATTTGCCTATTCTGGATTTTTCATATAAATTGAACCACACAATTTATGTCATCCTTTTTAACTGGCTTCTTAGTATAAAATGTTTTCCAAGGTTCATCCATGTTGTAGTATGTACCAGAACTTATTTCCTTTTTATATTCATTGTATGTATACTATACAACATCTTATTTATCCATTAACTAGTCAATGGTCATTAAGCTTGTTTCTACCTTTTGGCTACTATAAATAATGCTGCTAAGAAATAATTTGTACATGATTTTGCATGGACATATGTTTTCAATTCTCCTGAGTGAATACCTAGGAATGGAATTGCTGATACATATGGTAACACTATATTTAACTTTTTGAGGTACCATCAAACACAGCTTATACCATTTTACACTCCCAACACCAATCTATAAGAGTAAAGCACCTAATATTTTGCTCTATGCAATACATTTCCCATACATATTTTAACATTTATTTCCATTTTGATGGGACATTAAAATTATTTCAATGTTATTTCACCATTTTATTATTTCAATTGCTAATATTCAAATAACCATGATTGAAATAATTCAATAGTTTTTCTTCACTGGGCCACTGAATTTCATCTGAAAAACAAAGTGTTTTTTAAATAACACTGTACATACCCAGAAGGTGAAGTACAGCTGGATTCAAACACTGAGTTAAAAAAAATTCATCTATATTATAAAATATAAATAACATTTATCATTTATTACTTTGTACTTTCCATCCCAGTACAGAAAATCAAAAGCTAAGTGTAAAGTAGAAGGGAGATTTTTTAGAATTGCTAGTTATTAAGCAACTTAAACCTATGAAATATTTAAAAGCATTAACTAGAAAATTTTAAGTGATACTTTTGGCTGAAATACATTAGTATGATCAAATTCACTGATTTTTTTTATCTCATTTACTTTCCCTATTACAATTATATTTTGACAAAATTTAAAAAGATAATTTTTATCCTCTACTTAATTTTTCCTATCAGACAACTGACAGCAAAGGACAAGAAGTAGATAAGAAATGGCCGATGTTTTTTGTTTGTTTTTCTTCTAAGACTAAGCCCAGAGTAGTTTAGGTCAGTCTGTTTTAAGATGATTTAGAGGAGGCTTTGAGTATGCTAATCTTAGTAATGGATGGCTGGGTAAGAAAGGAAGTTATTGTCTCTGGTTCCTTATAACGTTCTAGTTGGTTAATTCTCTATTTTTACTAGAGTAATGATATTTTTCAGATTCAAATTCAGAAAAAATTTCATCTGCTTTTGATTTTAGCTAAATGGTTTTTTAAGTTTACAATATACCATCCCATGTAAGTTTGAAACAGTGATATCTATAGGTTTATTTTTAAGAAACTGATTTTAAATTATCTGAAGATTATAATTTAAATCTTCAAAAACAAGGGTTTGAAATTCTAAAAAATGCAAACCAATCTATAGTGACAGCAAGCAGATCAGTGGTTGTCTGGGAAAGAGAGGAGGAATGAATTACATTAGGGGTGATGGAAATGTGTTTTACTGATTATGGTGTCATTTAACAGATGAATATATGTCAAAACTGACCAAAGTGTACTTTAATTTTTTTTTATGATTTTTTTTATTGATTTTTAGAAAGAAAAGGGAGAGGGAGAGAGAGAAACATCTGTGTGAGAGCAAAACACTGATGGACTGCCTCCTGCAGGCTCCCTACCAGGGATCGAGCCCATTCTCACTGGGAACTGAACTGGCCACCCTTCAGTGCATAGGATAACGCCCAACCAACTGAGCAACACCAGCCAGGGAAAGTGTGGATATTAAATATGTGCATTTTATTGTATTTCAATTATACCTCAATAAACTTATAAACAAACCCAAGTGTTTCTCTTGAGTTAATTCCAGCGTTTCCCAAACTACATTCCATACAGTTGAGGTACCTCAAAAGAAGAATCCCTTAGCAAAAAAAAAAAACTTGGAAAAATTTAGGAAAGATAAGTTTGACAGTTAAACAGATTGCCACCACAATTATTCAATATGCTAATATGCATTATGATTTCCCCAGGGGAGTACACAGTACAGTTTTTCCCAAATTTGTTTGGCCTTAGAAAGTTATTTCACTGAAGAACTTCATAAATCAGTTTAGCAAGAACTTTTAATAGGAATAATATATAATACTTTAAAAGCAAAAAAAAAAAATTCTTGAAATATATTAAACAGAGTGATTACAAACTCAAATACCTTCAGAGGCCAAGATGTAACAAACAAACAAAACTCAAAAAGAACCAAATGGAAAACAGTAGGCATCTAGCTATTTGTACTGAAATTAAGCCTAGTTGCTTTCCTTTCAAAAAGCTGACGAGACCAAACAAATCATATCTAGAGCTTCTAGTTTGCTACTTTGTATTAAGAGATTAATTACGTCAAATTTCTTTTAATGCTAGTTTCTAAACCACTTGGAAAGACAGTAATAGAACGGCAGAGAAAAAATTATGATCTGTACTGCAACAATCTAGGCTTCAGTAATAGCTCGAAAACTGTAGCTCACTAGAAATAATATCTGGGCAAAAGTGAAAAGAAGATAAAACCCTTAAAAAAAGATAACTCTTTTCAAGTTTCATTTCTATAAGTAAACTTAGTCCTCATAATTCAAAATTTCAAATATAAAAACCTATAGGAAAAGGTAAAGGGTGTCCCAAAATTCACGCAATAAGTAATTTTGATAGAAAACACAGGTTTATAATTAAAAATTGTAAATTTTTTATTGATTCATAAAGTATACAGTATAGGGTTATATATGGAATAGCATATTGGGTAAATGGCCTCCACAGCTTTGCTTGCACGTACGCACTCTTTTGTTGAAATTTTCCATGACCGTTTTGCATAAATGTGGCTAAATTTCATTGAAACAGCGCTCAATTTCCTCCTTCAAGGCGTGGGTGGTTGTGGGTTTGTTGGCATAAACCTTAGACTTCAAAAAACCCCAAAGAAAAAAGTCCAACGGCGTTAAATCGCATGATCTGGGCGGCCAATTCTGAT